GAGGGAGAGAGAGAGACGGATTGAGAGAGAGAGACGACGAGAGCAGAAGCGAGGAGAGAGAGAGGTTAGAGAGAGAGACAGAGAGAGAGAGAGCGAAGAAAGAGACGAGGAGAGAGGAGAGACGAGAGAGAGAGAGACCGAGAGAGAGAGAGAAGAGACGAAGACGAGAGAGAGAAGAGAGAAAGAGAGAGCAGATAGAGAGGAGAGAGAGAGCAGAAAGAGAGAGAGAAGAGATTGAGAGAGAGAAAGAGCGCATAGAGAGAGAGAGAGAGAGAGAGAGCAGATGCAGAGAGAGCAGAGAATAAAGAGAGAGAGAGAGATGCAGAGAGATCCGAGAGACGGAGAGAGAGAGAAAAAGAGAGATAGAGCAGAGAGACGGTAGAGAGAGCAGGCTGAGCCTGTCCTGGCGCTGTACCTGATGAGATGTCAGATAGATTGTCGTGGCTGCGTGTCGGTGATTGGTCAGCAGCCGCGCCAGCGCATGCACCTCGCTTTCATGTGCAGCTCGCCCCTCCGACTGCGACAGAGAGCGCGCATGCGCGCGGTTCTACCTCGCCGTCCCCTGGCTGGTGAGCTGTGAGTTTAAAAGACATCTTGTTGACATGCTTGATGTCTAAATAACGCGTTACATGCGATCGAATAATTTCAATCAATCGTTTGCTAGCTAGCTATGATAGCCCCTAGATATAGATAGCTAAACATAAATACGATAAATAGTACGGTAGGTAGATAGCATACGCATAAATAGATGGAAAAATAGATAGTATATGAAGATATAAATAGATAGATAGATAGACAGACAGATAGATAAATAGATGGATAGCATAGATTAGATCAGATAGATGGTAGATAGATAGCATGATAGTTAAGCATAAATAAATATATAGATAGATATATAGATAGGATAAGTAAATAGATCAATAGGCTAAACTAGCATGGCAATATACACTATCAACACATAATTATTGCAACGTTATTCACTCAATTAGGGTTTCAATATTTTTACAATATAATATACATTTTCATTTTACGCTGCATATATATGAAAAATACGCCCCATACGCCCCACGCTGACCCCCACTCCCGGCTGAGTCACGTATAAGCGTAGCTACGTCACTCTTCCAGCGGGAGCTTTGCGTGACGTCAGCTGCTCTCCATGACGCCATGTTTCGAAACTCGTACTGCCCGCAGCGTTCGAAAGTACTTCGTGACCTCTGCCCTTTGTCGCGGCTGCTGAACTAGATGCATGAAACGACCTCGCGCTACGACTGGTGCGACGTGAACGCCTCAGGGTCGCAGTGTTCCTTTCTCCTGCGAACAACGCGGAACAACGTGCGAACAACGCGTATAGAAATAACGCGAACAACGCTGCCGAACAACGCGGGGAACAACGCGGAACAACGCCCCTTGTGAACCGCCTGAGAACTTGGTGTAACACACTTTGTGATGGGACGCAACCGTCACTGAGAACGAACAGCAAACTGGTCACGGCAGCCGTCGTTAGGAACAATGCCGTGTGGAAACAACGCACACACACCACACACACAGCACACACACACACACACACACACAAACACACCCACCCACACACAATAACACACACACACACCACACACAGCACACACACACACACACATACACACACACACACACACACACACACACACAAACACACACACACAAAACACACACACACACACGCTACATACACAACACACACACACACACACACCACACAAACACACACACACAAAAACCACAACACCACACACACACACACACACACACAAACATCAACATACATACACACAAACCCACACACACACACGCACATACACACACACACACAACACACACACACACACACAAACACACACACAACACACACACACACACACACACCCCTCCACACACCTTTTCGGAACATGTAGCTCTAGTCCAGCAAACGTGTGGCCAGCGGCGGCGTATGCCGACCCTGACGGCGACTTCCTTGTAGATACTCCAGGTGCAGCGCCGAGGCGATTGTATCTCGCCTGCCCAGCAGTAGACTGTTCGCCTCGTGTCTCCTAACAAACTGCCACATCCATGTCCCCGATGAACCGGTTACGCTCCTGCAGCCGCATCTTTCAGCCGTCGAGAAAGAAACTAAAATAAGTGCAAGAGACGAGGACAGCCGTGAGAATGATGGCAGACAGAAGCAGAGCGTGGTGTGCTAACGCCGTAGGGGAGGTAATGCGCGTGAAAGGGGGGGGGGAACGGCAGCGATTAGATGTGGTCCGAGAAGGAGAGAAGAGCGAGAAGGTGCTAATGGTACAAGTTGGAAGGTCATTGAAATGTAGTGCAGGCAATGCGTAGGCGGCAGGCTCGCAGCCGTGGGAAGCAGAGTCCGCGATGCAGTGAGGTAGAAGTACGAGCAAGAGACGAGAGTGGTAGGGTCTGCGGAAGGTCATGCTGAAGACGAGGGCAATGCTAGGCGGAGGTAGCGTGGGAAGAGAGTCCGCCAGCATGAGTGCAGGTGAGAAGTAGAGCTTAGAGGAGAGAGTGTTAGTGTCTGGCGGAAAGGTCATGTGCCAAGACGGAGGCAATGTGTAGGGCAGGTGAGCGTGGGAAGGAAGAGTCCGCGATGAGTGAGGGTCGAGACAGTTAGAGAAGAGGACGAGCAGTGGTAGTTTCTGAGGAAAGGTCAGCTGAAGGACGAGAGGCAATGTGCTAGCGGGAGGCCTAGCGCTGGGAGCAGAGTCCGCCGATGGCAGTGACGCGTTGCAGAAGCTAAGAGAAGCAGGATCCGGAGAGTGCGGTAGTGTACTGGGAAGGTCATGGTGAAGGACGAGCGGCAATGCGTAGGGGAGGGTAAGCGTGGGAAGAGAGTCCCGCGATGGCCAGTGAGCGTGCAGAAGTAGAGTAGCATGCGAGAGCAGTGTGTGTCTGGGGAAAGGTCATGCTGAAGGACGAGCACAATGTGCTAGGGACGCGTAGCGTGGAGAGAGTCCGCGATGGAGTGAGGCTGAGCAAGCTAGATGAATGAGGCAAGAGGTGGTAGTGTCTGCAGCTACAAGGTCATGTGCAAGGCCGACAGAGGCGCAAAGCGTTAGGCGGAGGGTAGGTTGGGAGAGAGTCGCGATGAGTGAGGCTGAGAAGTAGAGAAGAGGAGAGAGTGGTAGTGTCCGGGTAAAAGGTCATGTGCGAGGGCGAGGGCGGATGGCGTAGGGGAGGTAGCGTGTGGAAGCCAGAGTTCCGCCGAGATGAAGTGAGGTGAGAAGTAGAGAAGAGCGAAGAGATGGGGTAGTGTCCGGGGAAAGCGTCATGTGAAGACGAGATGCGATGCGTAGCGCGAAGGTTATAGCCGTGGAGAGCATGTCCGCGATTGAGTGTAGCACGTGAGAAGCCGCAGAGTAGAGGAGAAGAGTGGTAGTGTCCGCCGGCGGAAAGGTCATGTGAAGGTACGAGCGGCAATGTGTAGGCGCAAGGTAGCGTGGGAAGAGAGTCCGCGATGCAAGTGAGGTGAGAGAGAGAGTAGAGGAGAGCGGTGTAGGCTGTCCGCGGGAAAGTCATGGGCGTGGTGCGATGCGTTAGGGCAGGGAATCCCGCCGATAAGCCGGTCGCGCTTACGCACGAGCATCTTCTTCTTCTTCTTCTTCTTCTTCTTCTTCTTTTTCTTCTTTTTTTTTTCTTCTTCTTCTTCTTCCACTTCTCATCTCGGCGGTTTACGCATACCACTCGACCTAGCCACTG